ATTGATAAGATTGGATCTGTAAGCCTTCATCATATTGATGCATACCAAATGACATGAGTCAAGAAGAAAGACCAAGACCCAAGGACTAAGTCGACTGTGCATAAAACCCAACCTTAAATCCAATTGGAGCACGGGAAACTTCGACTTTGGATTGGATATAATAAAGACATTGTCCTGAATAAAAAAGATCCAATAAAAATGAACTAACTTCAAGAATAATATTATATTTATTTTTCAACTCACAAGGAAAAGTGTAAATGTAACAGGTATATGCATTAGGCATACCTTTCTATCAATTAATGTAGGCATGTCTTCTCCTCGATTCTCATTATCTAAATGGAAGACATCATGGAACTGAAATGATCTAAGGTCCAAAAAACAGGTCAAAAGTACTATTATAGTCTAATTTCGTTAATCAGAACATGCCTTCTAACAACGATTATGGCATTCAATTCATAAGCACTTAAATTCAAACCAATGAAAGATATGCCTTGTACACATGAAATGGAAAAACATACTTCTCCTCTTTCGATTCGTTCTTCTTTGACTTAACTCTGGCAACAGTTTCCAAAACTGCCTGACATATGGAAACAAATTCACTTCAGCTCATGAACAAAGACCAGTTAGGGATAACATTGGGAGTACATTAGCAAACATCTCTGTTATTCCGACTGCATGATAATTCATTGATTAAAATGAGAGGGATGCTCGAGAATAATAATGCCCCATAAGAAAACTTCTTCGGAATGCTAGAATTCTGGAGAACCTTATCGCGTTCAGATGGAAATTTGAATGAGCTAAAAGGTCCATATTGGAAAGAAAGAGCATGTTGGTTTGCCTACTGGATTCTATTATTCAGTTTTTCTTCTATTAAAAGTCGGTAGAAAAAAAAGACCGGCAGTGATCAGAAAAAACATCAACCTAACCTGCTTCTCAGCAACACTGTTGTTGAAGCTACCAGCATCCGTGACTGCAAGGGAACGTGAAAAAAAATTAATACTCTCAAGAAATTTAATGATGCCATAGCTATTTTATCAACAAAGTCTATTTGGCCAAAAAGATTCCGGGAATGTAAGGGGATTTAAACAGTTAGATAATTTCTTCAAAACGGTAGATCAGAAGCTCTTTCCAGTTCAAATCCTGCTTACTTTCCACGTTTCCGTAGACGGAGGGAACAGCTAAGGAGCATGCAGAATATGAATATGAATCTCATCAAACTTCCAATACCCGACAAAATCACTACCGTAAGACAGCTCTCGAGGTGAAAACACATCACAACGAACTGACACAGGTGGCATAAAAAGAAAAGAAAAAATGCGGAACAGAAGCAAGAACAAGAACTAAGAAGAAACCAAAAGAATCAAAGAAAGAAGAAAAAACAGACCTCAATGTTCAACAAACAACGAATTGATAGGCGGAAAGAATTAAAAGAACAAAAACGCATTTCACGAATTCCGGAATCCCAGCCGAACGAGGGAGCTTACATTCCCAAACAAACAACAAAGAAGGCAATGAGAAGAAAAGTGGAAGTCAGATCAACAAACCTTCATCACTCTGCTCATTCTCAGTAAATTCCCTCTCGAGAGCCCGATCGATTATATTAGCGAAACTATCGTCAACATTAGCAGATCTCGAGAAGTTAGAGTCGGCAGTAGCATTGATCTCGCCGGCCACCAACTCGGATGTAGTGACGGTTAAGAGAGAAATGGAAAGGGAAGGGAAAGTAGCGAAGTAGAGAAGAAGGTGAACGAAGAACAAGAGGACAAGACTCGCAGAGAACGGTAACCTCATTGCAGAGTCAGCACAGAAGAAGAAAGGTCGCCGGCCCGGCGCGGTGGCGGTGGCGGTGGCCTCCGACTCCGAGTGGGTTGAAGGGGGGAAGAAGGAAGGTGGGGGCGAAAAGGTGGTTATTATTCTTCTTGTTTATTTATAAATTTTCCTTTTTCAGCCAAGTAATCGGCCAAACAGAGACAGTAAAAGAATATGAAAGTACGAAAATACCCCTCTGGAAATAGTTTAATTACTTTGGTTGATGTTGGAGGTTGAGATGTCGACAGGGTTGAGCGGGGACAAGGACGGGAAACCTTCCTTATCTCCATCTCACCTTCATTTTTCATTTTCGAATATTTTTTCACATTTTTTTTTAATATTCTTGGAATAAATTTTTTAATGAATAATTAAGTTTATAATATAATTTTTTTTAAAAAAAATCACATTTTAATATTACAACATACTCTTATAAAAATAATAATATTAATATTTATAAGAGCACTAAAATGAGATTATTGCTCAAATAAAATATAATGAACTATAAAAATAATAATATTAGATTAAAATATTAGTCCTTTATCATTTAATTATATTTATTTGTAATTTGCTTCCTTAAATATAAAAATAGATTCTTACGCATTAAAAAATAAAAGATTAATTTAAATATTCTCCCCTAAATTTATAAACATATTTTAATTAAAGTAAAGAAACGAATAATTACACGCAAATGACTCATAGAGTACGAGAAAAAATCATATCAGTTTACATGAACCAGACTAAGATTAAATGATTAACGTAGTATTTATTTTAGATATAAATAAAAATAATTTTTATTATATTAAATTATAAAAGAAAATATTACGTTCATCATTGGTCGAACATATTAATTTAATATTGTGCTATTAACTATTTCATTTAAAAATAAGTATTTTAGATCAAGATTGATGTTTAAAAAGATATTCCATATATATTGGTAAGCGATCTCGAGATTTAGTATTTTAATAATTTATTATCTATTATAATTTTTTAATTTTTTTCGTTTATTTATTTAAATTTAAGAAATTTATTACAATAAAGACCCATCTAACAAACGGTTCAAATGAGTTGTAAATTTACGTAGATTCATGTCATTAAAATTTAAATATTTTAATTTTAGTCTGAATTATGAAAAATATCTATTAAGTTTGTCGTTCATTACAAAATTTTCATATTCTTTTATATTCGTAACATTATTTTCGACGTTTTATAATAATTTAAAATAACGTTTGGAACAAGATTTCTGTAGAATTTTGGGCGAATATTGGGATCTAAAACGAAATGGAATCAATATAACACTACGTCGTTCCGAAGACTAATTTAAGCAAGTTGGAGAAGAAAAGGATGAACCAAAAAATGAAAAATGGTTTATTAAAGTGAGAAGTCACATATGAGGCAAATGCTTAGCTAATGAAAAGGACTGTTTCAGCATCATCTTAGGATCTAGGACCACCCACCATTTTATTTATGCCCCCCATTCTTTTTATGAAAATAAAAATCATATATATTCAATTTTTAATTTTAATGGACGGTTGATCTTCAACGAGTCGTGGTTAAGGGTGAAATGCCACTCAACTCTAGAGTCAGCTAGTTCTTCTCGAAATGCGTTGAACCATAGCAGCTGATTGAACATCTAGGGGTAAAACACTGTTTCGGTACGAGTCGCATGAGCAGTACCAAATCGAGGCAAACCGTGAATACTATATATGATCTCAAAGTAACAAGAGTCAAGGTCAACTAGTGAGATGATGGGAGATAAGGGTGTAGAGACAACCAGAAGGCGAGGTTAATAGAGTGTGTAATCGTAACCACCCCCAAATTCACTCCCCTTTGAGGCCCAGCGTCCTTACTGGCACACCGCCTCGTGTCTACCCCTTTTTAAGGAATAGCGAGAAGGCTGACACATCGTCCAGTATCTGGTTCTGATACCATTTGTAATGATCAAAGTCCACCACTAGCATATATTGTCCTCTTTAAGCTTTCTCTAAAGGCTTTAAAACACGTCTGCTAGAGGAAGGTTTCCACACTCTTGTAAAGGGTATTTTGTTCTCCTTCCCAACCAATGTGGAACATCATCGTGTTTTGTTCTTCTCTCCAACCAACGTGTAACGTCACAGCAATATGATAATGTGAAAATCATATTAATCTGTATGGTTGAACGCGATTTTGACCACAAAATTCAAAATCAGTTTAAAAAAACAAACCTGTCGCAATAATCAAAATTGGAGGCTACATAAATTAAAATAATAATAATTTTGAAATTAAATTAAATTTAAATTTAGATTGACCAGTAATTGAAGAGATGACGATGAAGATGCTTAAAAAAGTCTTAATGGCATAAAATTCAGGAAATTGCAGCTGATCTTCCAATTCATAAGTTTTATTTTTCCTATTAAATTGACCCAATAATAATTTATTAATAATAATAATAAATTGAAGCTGGTCTTTCTTTAATATCTAAATTATGATTTTTTTTTTAAATTAAATTGACCAAATAAAATAGAAAATCAACGAATTGGGCCTATATAATATAATTATCAACGTGGTAGGTTTTATACTTAAAAAAAAAAAAATCAGTGATTTGAATATTTATTTAAATAATCCAAATTTAACATCAAATAAATGAGTTGTACAAAATTCCATAAAAAATGTCTTAACACATGTGCTATTGTTATTTAATTTAATAAAAAATAAAGAAAAATATCCAACATCTATATAACAAACACTTATATATACGTCTATTTATTTTATTTTTATTTAATTTCGCAATTATTTTCAACCTGAAAAAAAAAATTAAAATAGAGTTGTTAATTTTAATTATATTTATATATATATATATATATATATAACCAGCATTTGTGCAGCACTCACTTCCAGCGACAACAAGTGAGCTAAGCCAATTCGTTCTTACGTCGCCTATGGCCGAGCGAACTCTGACCTCGATTTTAAGAGAAGGTTTTAAAAAACGAAGGCAGAGATTATATAACCAAACAAGAGAGAAATAACAACCGCTCACAGTAAATATAATATAATATATATATTTTTTTTTTCGTAAGTGGACGAAACTATTAAAAAAAAAAAACAATTTTCACTAATATTTCTAATAATAATTAATCAATTAATTAATTTCTTCATCCTCAGCCGTCTCTATTTATATTCCCTTTGGTTTTCGCTCTCATTCCCTTCCTCTACTTTCCTCCGCCAGAACTCTTCTTCCTCCTCTCTCCTCCAATTCCCCTCCCCCCGCCGGTATGGACGGACCTAGATTCGTAATCGAAGCATCAGAAGCCGAATCCATGGCCAAACAATCGGGCCTCACAATCCCTCTGCTCCTTCCATCGCTCGTCAAATCGGCGCAGAGCCTAGCACGCCCGCCGATCTCCAAATACCATGTCGGCGCCGTCGGTCTCGGATCCTCTGGCAGAGTTTTCTTCGGCGTCAATCTCGAATTCCCTGGCCTTCCTCTTCATCACTCTGTTCACGCCGAACAATTCCTCGTCACAAATTTCGCCCTAAACGCTGAATCTCAACTTAATTTCCTTGCGGTGTCTGCCGCACCTTGCGGCCATTGCCGCCAATTCCTCCAAGAAGTTCGCTCCGCCGCCGAGATCAAAATCCTCGTTTCCTCAATCGAGGAATCCGATTCCAAATCCAACGATTACGTTCCTCTCCCCCAATTTCTCCCCCACCGATTCGGCCCTTACGATCTTCTCAATAAGGACGTTCCATTACTTCTCGAGCCCCGATTTAACGGCCTGTCTCTGTCGGACGAATCCGCCGAAAATCACACGCTCTGTAATGGTGCTCACGGCAGCGATTGGGAGAAACTCAAACGCGCCGCCTTAGACGCCGCGAATATGTCCCACGCGCCGTACAGTAGATGTCCGTCGGGAGTTGCGTTAATAGACACCGATGGACAAATCTACAAAGGATCATATATGGAATCAGCAGCATACAATCCAAGTATGGGGCCAGTGCAGACAGCGATAGTGTCGTACGTCGCCGGCGGCGGCGGCGGGTACGAAAGAATCGTCGCGGCCGTGTTGGTGGAGAAGGACGGCGTGGATGTGAAGCAAGAACACACGGCGAGGCTGTTACTGCAGACGATCTCGCCGGAATGTGAATTTAGGGTGGTTCACTGTGTCGCCGCCGTGTGATTGGGCGGACGAAATAAATTATTGGAGAAGGAATTGAAATGTTTACTGCATTATATTAAAAACGATTTAGTTCACAAATCATTTTTAAATTATTAAAATATAAAATAAAAAAAAAAACTCTTGAGAAATAAATGGATTGTTCTTTAATTTTTGGGTCAATTCAATCACAATTTCCACAAGATATTTTAGACCGTTTGGATTTTTTTTTAATGAAATCCGATGTAATAATTACTCAAAACCATATTATCAATTTGCTTAAAAAAAATAAAAAAATTAGTTATTTAAAAAAATTAATGATTAAAATAAATATTTTAAAAATAGGGAATAAAAATAAATGAATTTAGAGGGACGGAGACAATAATTGATGATAATAAAAAGAATATTGTATAAAGTCTTATTATTATAAACCAATAATAATAGGCTTGGAAAGCTTAGGTTTTGAATGATTAAATCATTGAATGGGTTCGAGCCTAGGGGGCCTAGGTGTCTCGACCATCGACCTGTTAGAGCTGACCCAGACATAGTTTGATCTTTTACATAGTCTTCACTTTAAAGTCAGATTTGTAGTCAAGCCTCACTCTCAAGTTAAGACTCGTGGATCTATTGACATATTTCTCATTTAACCATAAGCTTAGGTTTTGGTCGGAGTCCATCCATGGTGAGGCTTAAAAGTAGCTCGAGAAGTTCATTGGGCTATCTCAAAGGTTGTTCATATTCAAGCTCCACATGTGGTCCAAGACACAGAGATAAAAGATGTAGCATGAATAAGGGATAAATAATGACCCAACTCCAACGAGTTGTGACCAAACCACATGAGTTAGCAAGGCTCCAAGAGGTTGAGCCATCATACCTCTCTATATGTAAGGGTATAAATAAGGAGATCCCTGCATTGTTTAAAATTCCGTAAGATTAGATGCAGATAGGAGGAAGAAAGCTGTAACGTTCCAGATCCACCCTAACAGATATTGTCCTTTTTGGGCTTTCCCTCAAGGCTTTAAAACGTGTCTACTAGGGGAAGGTTTCCACACCCTTATAAATGGTGGTTTGTTCTCCCCAACCAATGTGGGACATCACAAAAGCTCAGATCTTGAAGCTGGACCATCTCCATCCATGGCCTTCGTGAGCTGAGGCCTAATGCAATGCATGCACTTGCCTAAGAAGCGTAATGCAGGTTCGATAAAGGGACTGGCTCCTTTGGAATTGTTCCATACGTTCCCATATCCCTCCTCCTTCGCCTGTTACAGAGATGGGGTCGGGGGAAGGGGGCGGGGAAGAGATTGAGAGGAGGGCGGGGGGAGTGAAAGCGGAGGGTGGCATGTAAGGAAGAAGGAGGTTGAGGCCATTTTGGTAGAGCCTAAAAACAAGTCAATAGTGTTTGAGCTGTAAAAATCATCAGCCAAAGCATATATGGAAGGCTTGTCTAGCCAGTATTTAGTCTCCTATAAGGCAGCTGCTAGACTACAGAGTAGCTATGACCTATATCTTTAAACAAGCCTAACAATCACTTAAACATAGCCCTCATGCTTTAAACGTCTCGTTGAGATACGACGACGACGAAGTAGATTATACGATTCAACCAGGAAAGCCACAAAGATGAATGATTATCGATGAGCGTACCAGTTTCTTGAGCAAACAGCAAATACTCGGGCCATTAACTTGCTAGAGCTTTCACTTGGTGTGTGCAGGGACTTCACCCCTCATTACTCTCCAGGGTCCATAATAAAACTTTGGTTTCATTAGAGGTACATCTTCCCCAGGGTGATCTTCCCAATACTTTTCCTGCACATTTTCATAAGGACTGCAGAGGTTGATATAGCTACCACAAATTATGCTTTTAGCATCTTATATCCTACACCACGCTTAAAACGTGTCTATTAGGGAGAGGTTTCCACATCCTTATAAGGAATGTTTTGTTCCCCTCTCCAACCGAGGTGGGATCTCACAATCCACCTCCTTGAGGGCCCAGTGTCCTCGCCGACACATCGCACAGTGTCTGGCTCTGATACCATTTATAACAGTTCAAGCCAACTGCTAGCAGATATTGTCCGCTTTGATCCGTTACGTATCACTGTTAGCCTCATGGTTCTAAACACGTCTACTAGAGAGAGGTTTCCATGCTCTTGTAACGAATACTTCCTTCCCCTCTTCAACTAATGTGGGATCTCACAATCCACCCCCTTAGGGGCCAACCTCGCTACCACACCACCCGGTGTTTAGCTCTGATACCATTTGTAACAGCCCAAGCCTACCACTAACAAATATTATCCACTTTGGCTCATTACGCATCACCGTCAATCACACGGTTTTAAAACGCATTTATTAGGGAGAAGTTTCGACACCCTTACAAGAATGTTTCGTTCTCCTTTCCAACCAAGGTGCGATCTCAAACTATGGTTTAAACAGAATTTCACTTTCTTCTTACGATCAGAAACCAATCTTTCAGATATATGAAAAGAATGTACAAGAACATACAAAAAAAGAGCAATCCCAAATCCAAAAAACTACCAGGAAGAACACCAATTTAGAAGAATTAAACCTAGATGATAATTACAAAAAATCCTTAGCCACTTAACCCATGCCAAGGCATTATTAAACCCTAATCACCACCCTCAATTGAATAGAATCAAAAGCACTTGGATAAACACGCTCAAGTTAAACGATAAATTGGGGAAAAACAATCGAAGCAACAATGGCAAAATTACCTTGTAGAGCTGCTCGGTAATGGCAGCGCCGACGACTCCAGTGTAAAAGGCAGCAATATAGATGGTAACCAAAGGCGTAAACGATTTAGGTCGCCTATACGGATCAACCATGTCCCATAGAATCGTTCTTTCCCACTTGGTGTAGAGATAATCGGCGTACTTCCTCCATAGATAGCTCGCCATTTCAAGCACAACCGGCGATTGATTCGTCGAATAGAAGGCTACTGGAAAGAGACGAATTAAGATTGGAATCGAAAACAGTTCCAGAATCGGCGGTTAGTGAGTGGCGGTGCAATGAAGAGGTTTGTAGAGGGGAGGAAAATAGAGAAGCCCAATAAGGATGAGAATTGGGTCAGCTTCATCTTCAAGCTTGGGCTTCTCTTCTCTTCGTCCATTATTGAATTTTTTAAGGATATTTTATTTTATTTTATATTTTTTAAATAATGAGTGAATTTAAAAAAGAAAAAGTCAACGGTAAAAAATAAGAAGACAGTTAAAACGGTAAGAATAGAGAGGAGGATTTTTTTTTTTTTTTTTTAAATAAAAAAAGCTGATTTTTCCAGCTGTGTGTCATCCACCAATCACCATCGTCTATTCACTTTTTAAGAACTTGAAAGTTCATGGTGAAAATATTTAAATGATTATTTTTTTTAATACATTTAAATGAAAATATTCACACTTCTATCCATTCAGATTTAAAAAGATTTTTATTGACACCCAAATAAATGAGAGGTACATAAATGAACTAAAACTACTTTCAAACGAGAGCAATCCTGAAGATAGAATGACTAAGAAATACTCAAAGGAAATGAAAGTTACTACTTATACTAATAAGGTGTACCTTTCTTTTTATAGCTCAATCATAGAAATTCCATAGTTGAATGTGCTTTACTGGTAACCTCCTAAAAATTTTTCTTTGATGTATGCCAGTAAGAATAAAACATACGCGAAAGACTTGTGTTTGTCTGTGGAGATAGTCTTTACTCCTAAGCGAGTAAAAAGCAAGTAACGTGATCATGTCAGGACCATCATATGCAAATTTAGATTACGAATCCTGATCCAAATTCTGATGAATCCTGATCCAAATTCTAATGAGGGTCCTGTTGTATGTGTAATTTTACGTGGGCTAAGATTTTGTCAGTCTTTTTCTCTGTCTAATAATTTTAATTTTTATCTTATACCATCTTTGAGAAAAAGGAGATATATTAATTATATTGGATCAGATAATATTTGGTTAAGGTCAAACAAGTAATTATTTGTTAACCACATAAAATAATAGCAATATCGTCATAATATTTTACAAAAATGATATAAAATTTTAGAATTAAACTAAATTTAAATATGTGTATATTATATTATTTAATTAAATTATGTTTAAAATATATACAATAATATATACACACACAAATACAATAATATATATATATATATATTTGTCTCAATGTCTTGATTCTAATTATTTGAAAACTTTTTATCTTTAAAATGCATTAGCATTTAATAGAAAATTAAATTAAAAAAGAAAAGAAAAGGCTATAAAATTTAAAAATATATAATTAATTAATTAATTATAAAAATTCAACCATGAAGAAGGCCATAAGATAGGGTCATGAGCAAAATTGCCGCTTCTCTTTCGTCCTGTGGGAAAACTCGCTGGTAAGAGGAAGAAATCTCGCTCAATCGCCGCCCCATTTTTATATTTTCAAAACAACCCTTCTTTCCGCCGCAGCCGCCGCCGCCGCCGGCTACGACGGCGTCGTCTTTCCGCTTCCTTTTCAATTTCTTCGCTGCCGGCTTTGTCATTATCTTGTGTTGCACCGCCTTGTTCGTCTTCAGAATTATTGCCGCCGATTTTCCGCCGCATGGAATACCGCCGTTCATTGCCGCCGCTTCCGCCATCGCTCGTCTTGCTTTTCTCTGCCGGATTCCACAGGCGTTGCAAAGAGACTGCATAATAATGGAAATTATAACCCCAAATTTAACAAACCCTAGAATTGTTTAATTCCCAAGCCACTTATAATCATAATAAAATAAATATCTTTAAATAGAATACAAGCTATCAGCTAATATATTAATAATTAAATTAATTTTTTTAAAAAAGTAATTAATTAAATATACTGTCAACCATTTCAAAAAAAATTTAATTAATTAAGACTATATAAAATATATTTTACCACGGAATATGACTCTCAAAAATAAAATATATTCCACAATTAATAAAAAAATATACCCAAAAAATAAAATATATACTATTAATTAACTTGTTTCTAGAAAAAAAAAATAAAAGAAAAAAAATTAATTGATTAATTATACTGGTGTAAAATATATTCTAATGTTAAGAATGATGCAAATATTCCAATCACACAGAAGTTGTTCAATATTCTATAAGATCTTCTTTACTACGACTCGAACACAAGTCAAGGTTTGTGGGAGCTTCTTGAAACAAAATCTCAATTGGAGAAGAGAGTTTCGAGAGTCAAAGATTATGGGAGCCTCTTGAAAGAAAATTTCAAAAGGATTGGAGAAAGAGTTTCGAGAATTCTGAAGAAGATTAATTTCATTCCCAAGAAAGTGGGAGAGATCATATTCTAAGATATTAACTGATTATTAAAATATATTCCCAACAAAATTAACAGTCTGTTTATATCATAAATTAAATTTTATAAAAAAAAAAATTTTAAATTTTAAAGAGTAAGAAAGAATGGTGCTTTAAATGGAATGAAATTACCTTAGGGCCTCTTGGGCCGCTCCTCCAAAGGGGAGTTTTTGTGGTGTTACAGTCGGAACAAGTTCTGATTATGGCGGCGCCGTCGTTTAGCATGGTTGTCCGGTTAAGATCATGGGAGTTCCGACCGCCGTGGATCATCTGGGTGGCGGTGTTGATTTGGTTAGAATTTATCAGCAATCTAATCTTAGAAGAAGAAGAAGACCAGTTGACCAAATCATTATGAGTATTATGATTCTCACAGCAGCTTGAGCTTTCACTCTATGAATAAAAAATAAAAAAATAAAAAATCAGAAATTTTTGAAAAAGAAATTAAAGGGTCGTCGGAATTGAAAATATACCTCGTGTTTGAGCTGCAGCCGGCGAGGGTCGTCGGAGTTGGAGTGATCGGGGGCAGGGAAAGAGAGGGAGGAGGAGGAGGAGGAGGAGGAGGAGGAGGAACGGCGGAGAAGGTCGTCGTGATAAGGCGGAGCCATGGCGGAGGAGAGGGCGGAAGGATAGGGCGGAGGGGAGAGGGGGAGCTGGGCCTAGGGGTTAATAAATGAGACATTCACGTGCCTTTCAGGACAAAGAAAGAAACAAAAACTTCAAGAAACACAATCTCACCAGAAATTTGAACGAGTGGAATTCTGCTACACAGACCCCATTTCACACATAAAACCCTATCTCTTCCTTTCTTCTAACACATATAATCTATATTCAACTAAACCCGAAACCCAAAACCCGAAACCCTACTATCCAAATTACCCGAGTTTCAAATTTAGTAGATTTCCATGATCGTCGTTTGCTATCGATCTATACATTGAGATTTAAGAAAAAACATATGTGGAGATCTCACGTTGGTTGGGGTGGAGAATGAAACATTCCACCTCTCCCTAGCATATGCGTTTTAAAATTATGAGACTAATGACAATATGTATCGGCTTAAAGCGGATAATATTGGTTAGTGGTGAGTTTGAGCTGTTATGAATAGTATCAAACTCAGACATCAGGGGTGTGGATTGTGAGACCTCACATTCGTTAGAGAGGGGAACAGTATGAACACCTCTCCCTAGCCAATGCATTTTAGAATTGTGAGATTGAGCACGATACGTAATGGGCCAAAACGGACAATATTTATTAGTAGTGACAGTATTCAATTGTAGTGGTAGCGTCTGTACTAATAAAAATTGATTTAAAAGGACAAGTGGAAGAAAGAAATAGAGAGCGTGAGGCCGCGTTTTGTCTTGAAACGTGAGACAGAGGGAAGAGTATGGAACATGGGAAGTCCTACGGATATTAATGATAAAAAAAAAAATAAGATTTAAAAATTAATATATATATTAATGATTAAAAAATAAATAAAAAATAAAAAATAAAATAAAATAAAAGAGAATATTAATGATAAAGAATAGGGCTACGTTAGGGGTTTGTTAATCACTCGCATAGGGTGTATTATTGTATGGTTGGAGGGTTACATTATCTCACTTTCTTCCAAATTTGCCCTACATTTCTACTCTCTCGCTCTCGTGCTTAATCACATCAAATTGATCGATCATTTATTAAAAATTATAATTTACGACCCGCAGATTTTTTTTTTTTTTTTGTGAAAATAAAGTATATATTGACATAACGATAATTAACATGTAATATCTCTTACACTTACGGTCAGAGATTTAAAGGAATGATATATATTCAAATATTACCGTATAAATAAATATAAATATGGAATCCAAAGTTTTGAATCCCAAGGGATACATTTTCTTTTCTATATTACATACCAAACTTTTTTCTTATCTACATTGTGCATAAAAATGGTGTTTTGTTTCGGTATTCTTCTTCGATTATTCTCTTGTGAATGTGCTCGGGATGTAAACCAACCAGCTTGAGTTTGGCGATTGGCTTATGCAACTCGAGATGAACTATAATTTGAGAAATCTATGTGCATTTAGTAAGAGTAGAGAAATACGAGACATGGTTGAGCTTACCTAAAGACAACCTCAATTGATAGTTTGTTGTGTTATCAGGAAGTGGATCTCTTGACCAAAGAGATTGACTCGGGATTGCCACCCAATTCTTCGAAAATCACCAATAGGTTCCCGCTCGATTCCAACCAGGCACGGGGAACGTGATACCTGAAGTTTCAAAAGTTTTATTCTCAAGAACGTGCATAAATGGTAACTAAAATGGGGGAAACTCATTTTACCATCTTTGTGAGGGCTCTCCACAGCTAGAATGACATTTCTTCTCATTAAAAGTTCCTGCATAGCTGCATTTGCCACAGCTACCTCGTGCGGTATATGTAGGCCAATGGCGCCCGATGCTCTGACCGTTAATCCATACCTGACCTTTACTCATGCTGCTCATATCTAAAGCTAACGGTTCGTCGCCTCCCGGGGCATCGAAAGTCGTCTGCAGATTCGATACACAACAGAAGTTTAGATCAGAGAAGCTGTAGGAATTTAAGGATGTTTGTTTCAACTTGTCTCACCTTGTACCATGTGAGAGGCTGTTTTTGAGACACCAATGAGCCTGTCACCCATTCAACTGAGCTACTTCCACTAACAGTATGAAGATTCAAGGCTTCTCCTTTCAAACCAACCTATTCAGGAATAGTGTTATTGAGATTCTCTAGCTTAGTTTCTAACAAATTTAGTACTATTGTACCTTGTACGACCATTTATATCCAGACATGTCTTTTGTTCCCTCGTCTACACCCTTCAATGTGACAGGACCTAGAATGCCAGTGTTCCATGTCTCATAATGTTGGCCACCATTCTGACATTCAACAAACAAAAAACCCAAGTCAAATTTAGTAATGGCCTAGCGTCTTTGCTTGCATATTGCTCGGTGTCTTGACTCTGAAACTATTTGTAATTGCTCAAGCCCACCGCTAGCAGATATTGTCTCTCTGGGCTTTCCCTTTCGGGTTTCCCCTTAAAAACGCGTTTGCCAAGGAGAGGTTTCTACACTCTTACAAAGAATGTTTTGTTCTCCTCTCCAACCAATGTGGGGTATCACAAATTTAGAAACAATGATGCTTTTGAATGCCGGAGATACTAACCGGGAGACCAACAGCGACACTCAGTATAGAAAGCTTGTTAATTCCTGCCCTTAGGGGAACGTATTTACTGAATGTTAATTTGTAATTCTCCGACCCCCCATATTCAGTTCCTACATTCACAATATCATATCATTTAGTTGATGTTTGGAAGAGATTTAAGAATAAAATGTGTTAATTTTCAAGTACCAGATAGCTGGCCATTTATGAACACATGCAAAACATGGCCAGCTGAAAAGATCGTGAGAAGAGGCCATTGTTCGCTCTTTAGAAAGCCTTCGTTCGGATCAATCATTATACTGAGAAAGATGAACATAAAATGATTATTTTCCAACATGTTTCCATAAAATGTTCGACAGAGGGCAAAGCTAGGATAAGTGATGGAGTTCTTACTCTGTCATGTACCACAGATAGTCTGTTGCATCCCTCGTGACACTTATTTGCTCCACTAGCCCAGCCATGGTGGTTGTATCATCGGTATACGCAGAGGCTGTTTCTTCATTGTATGAAAGCCATGAAAATGAACTAACTGGTGTCATTTTAGGCTGTGAGCTTGGTGCCTTGACCTGCAAAGATATCCAAACAAAGAAGAGTTTTAAAGGGTTCCATTAGCATATACAAACTTTTGGAGAGATCCCACGTAGGTTGGAGAGGAGAACAAATCCTTCTTTATAAGGGTATGAAAATCTCTCCCTAGCAAAAGCGTTTTAAAAATCTTGAGGGGAAGCCCGAAAGAGAAAGACAAAAGAGAACAATATCTGCTAGTGGTGGGTTTGGGCTATTACAAATGGTATTAGAGCTGGACACTGATCGATGTACTAGCGAGGAGGAGAGGGTGGACATGAGGTGGTGTGCCAACAAGAACGTTGGGCAATGAAGGGGGTGAATTGGGGGTCCCACATCGATTGGAGAAGGGAACGAGTGCCAACGAGAACGCTGGGCCCCGAAGGGGAGTGGATTATGTGATTCCATGTCAGTTGGAGAAAAGAACGAAACATTGTTCGTAAAGGTGTGGAAAGCTCTCCCTAGCAGACACGTTATAATCCCCAGTAACCGTATAAGCACAAGAGGGTCTAAGTGATTTGAATCTCGTCTTACTATTGCAGTGTTGAAAATGGCAGATTTGCAGTCAGGAAGGATGCTGACGGACCAAGGTGGCAGGTCATATTGATTATTTCCAAAGGCGACTGTTGCAGACGACGATGCATCATAGTTTGCTAGAAAAGCAGCACATGCCCCTGTTCTTGTCTTGAAGACATGAGCCTTAAACAATCATAAAAAAGATCAAATTAGACCATATTGCAAAGAACAATGCATCAATAGTTACATAATCTTTCATCAGCTAGATCATGATATTACCTCTTGGTTGCTTCCTAACGATGACACGGTAGGATCTACCGACACTAAAGCGGGTTCACACAGCTTGATGGCTTTGTGCAGATCTCTCAGATGACTCCATTTCGGTTCCCTTAATAGGCCTACCATATCCCAGAAAAGTTATTGAAGTAATGATGAAAATATATGAAAGTTCTTTATGAGAATGTGATCTTGGAAGCTACTACTGCCACGAGCTTACCATACTCATCGATGGGAGCATCATAGTCATAGCTAGTAGCTATGAAAGGCCCACCAGCAGTTCGGCCGAAGTTAGTTCCTCCATGATACTGACATGAGAGAAGATATTGAAAGAGTTAAGGATATGATATCATTTCCATTGATCAGCCAACCATTATGAAACACTGGATTGGTAATTACCATATAATAATTGATGAAAGAACCACGATTCTGTATGAATCTTGCAACGGAATAGGCTAAGTCTTCAACTGGCCTATAAGGAACTGGGCCACCAAACTCAGTGAACCTTGAATATTTCAAGAACAGGGAGCATGTCAATTCTAATCCTTTGAAACTCAGAAATGTTTAGTCATAATTTGGTGAATGCAGGCAGAATAAGTTACTTACCAACCAGTCCAAGCTTCTGTCCACATTTTGGGTTTATAAACCTTCTTGGGTTCGAAGTTTTCACAGTAAAACCCATTGCAGGTGTCAATCTGAAGTAGAATCAAGTAGATGGAAGGAAAGTGTGAGATCCACATCCGTTTGGGAGGAGAACAAAGCATTTTTATAAGGGTGTGGAACATTTTTATAAGGGTGTGGAAATCTCTGACGTGTTTTAAAAACCTTGAGGAAAAGTCCAAAGAGGACAATATCTGCTAGCGGTGGGCTTGGGTTCTTACAAGCGATATCAAAGTCAGGTTCCGGTTGATATGCCAATAAGGAGGCTAAGCCCCGAAGGGGAGATGGACACGAGGTGGTGTGCCAACAAGGACATTGGATCTCGAAGGGAGGTGGATTGGAGGTCCCACATCGATTGAAAAAGGGAACGAGTGCCAGCGAAGATGCTGGACCTCGAAGGGGGTGGATTGTGAGATCCCACATCGTTTGGAGAAGAGAACAAAGTATTTTTAATAATGGTGTGGAAACCTCTCCCTAGCAGACACGTTTTAAAAAACTTTGAGGGAAAGTTAAAAGAGGACAATATCTACTGGCGGTGGGCTTGAGTAACATGAAAGGGAAGATTAAGAAAAGCCATAAAAGAAGAGTTTTATACAAGAAGGCAAGCATGGCTTCAAGTGTATTAAAGAAACATGAAAGGGAAGATTAAGAAAAGCCATAAAAGAAGAGTTTTATACAAGAAGGCAAGCATGGCTTCAAGTGTATTAAAGAAAAATGAAGCTCAAGAACCGTTAAATGTTGGAATCCCCACCTATAAAAGAGGCTCACACCTTACAATAAATGTATAACTAATGGACTCACGAGGGACCAGTACAAAGTTCTATCCACAGTTCTAACAAGTGGCACAAACAACCTCATCCAAGAAGGTAAAAGAAACCCGTGACAGAGAGATCAAAATAGCTTACCACAGGGTCAGGGGCATCGTCTTGCTTGCACATCACCCATGGCACTCCAGTGTCAAGACCCACTGCCATTTGAGCTGCCCATTTGGTGTAAGACTTACCAGGGGCACCTATTTCCCACTCCACTGGTCCATATTCATTCTCAATCTGCACCCCCAAAGCATTAAAACCCAGTTTTGAATCCAATAAAAGCCTCATATGATATGTTTGTTGGATGTTACCTGAGACAGAATAATGGGCCCTCCCTGGCTTTGGTATAGCTTCTCCCCCTTCATCACACCGACAATCTTCTCAGTGAACTTTTGCATAGCCGCCTTTATCAAACACAATCAAATCCATTACTTAGAACAGTAAATAACCCATAAACTTCTTTGTTTTAACACAGAGATGAGAAACGTCCATGGAGATTTCAGAAACTTTCCCTACCTTGAAGGGTTCATTGTCTGTCCTAAAGGAAATCCCAGGAACATACTTTAACCAAACAGGAAATCCACTGAATCATTGAAGCAAAAGTAAAGTAATCAGAACAGAGCCACATGAAGAATATTAACAAGATTCCAGTAAATATCCATTTTGATTGTTTTACCCAAAATTCCATTCTGCACAAACATATGGACCAATCCGTAGATGAACATATAAGCCAGCTTGTTGAACAAGCTTCACAAATCTCACCAAATCATATCTATCCTCAAAATAATACTGAAAATTTGAAGAACAAAACACCAAATGAATCAGTATAATCCAAACCCAGAAGAACCCATATGGCAGAAACAAATTTCTTCCCCATTTACCTGTCCAGGGGAAGGCTCATGGCCATTCCAGAACACATATGTATCAATAACATCCAGTCCTCCATCTTTGGCCTTCTGTATAAGGTCCGGCCACATCTAAACCACAGCAAAGGGGGGAAATAATTAGAGAGGGAAATCGAAATAAACCCGTGATTCACATTGAACGTATTCGAACCTGAGGAGTGCTTCTTGGATAATGAATAGACCCAGAAATCAGTATTCTCCTCCGGCCATCGATGATTATGGCTTTGTGGTCATAACTCACAGAAGCCATTCCAGATGAACAAACCCACAAAAACAAACCCAAAAACAGCACCATAATCCTTGCCATTTTGAACATTTTGCTACTCCTCAACACCAATTTGTGATAAGGGGTCGGTTTCTTCTTCTTTGATTCTTTCTTTTGAAGAAGAAAACAGAGGAAAACAGAGAGGGCAATGGAAATGCAAGGATTTTAATGGAATATTGAGGAGCTCTGCTGCAAGAGAGAGCCCCATTTGAAGCATTTGAAGCATGAGAAAGAGAAGGGTGGGGCCATTTTCACTATCTTCTTCACTAAACGCTCCTTCCTCAGCAATTTTCCAACTACCGGTTTGCAAATGGCACGTTTTAGAAGTGATTGTAACAATGCTATGATTTTGCGCTAAACATTATTTTCTAACCATTTAATCCTTTCATTTTAAAATTTTTAAACAATTTAATCTTAAATTTCTAACATTTTTATCAAAATTAAATTCTATAACGAGAAATTTCATGCAAATTATAAAAATGAATATTTCAATATATATTTCATGGAAATTGAATTAAAAAAGGTACGTGGAGCCAGATGTCAATGTGTGATTGGATATGGTGTCATGTTGCTTTCAAAACAGATAACAAAACTTCGGGTTATTTTCCTCTATAATTGAAATACATTAATGGATAAGAAGGAAAGCATTAGTGAGTCATTCATACACATGAAAATCTATATTTGATGCGAAGTCGTCCTACTAAATTTAGTGTTTTTAATTTTTCTATTTAATTATTTTTATGATCGAGCACGAACCTCGAAAATAAGTTAAAAATAATCGAGACTAGAAGTGTTAATATGGCTCGATAACGTAACCGAGCAAGACTACTCAACCCAAGCTATAAATATTAGGTTGGGTTAAGTTTTTTTCGATTTGGGTTGGATTTCGGTTCAGTTTAGTTCGAATCAACTCAACCGACTTGAAAATAAGGTTACAACTCAATCTAACCGTACCCTACCTTTTAAAATATTAAGAATATTTAACGTTTACAAGTTGTGTTCGTCCATCCATAAAAAACACGTAAATTTAATTTTTCATAATTACAATAAATTTGGGAGTTAAATATCCCTTTAAGAATTATTATTTGTTTGCATAATTTGAAAAGTGTTTTTAATTGGTCAATAAAACTATGGTCCACATGCTTGACTTTTTTCTTCCATGGATCATGCTTTTCATAAATGCTCGTTTAATTGTCTAATGAACTTAATACGTTCCATTAGACACTAATTAGTTGTTTAAGCAACATGATGACGGGTCGCTCTCGATAATTAATCATACTTTTAGATAAACACGATCATGTTACTTTTATAATACAACTAATATACTTGAAATTACTCGATAGTAAATACTTAGGTATATGATAAAATCACGAGCTTTAAGTGTCACAATCGCACCTCTTTGAATTGTTTACAAGCGATTTTGCAGCACTTACTTTCAGCACTAAGTGAGTCAGCCAACTCGAAATCGCGTCGCCTACGACCTGACAACGTATACTCAAACCTCTGGCCCCGTTTGAGAAAAACGTTTTTATAAAACAGGGGCAGAGAGATTTTCGAAAGAGAGTTTGAAAGTAGAGGGTTTGACATGCGACCATGATAGAATTTTGTCTTATTCACGTTTGGGCCATAAGATCTAAGCCCAATGGGCTTTAGATTCAAACATTATTAAGCCCGTTTGGGGGATTTCTATGGGCCCCCATAAATTAAAAAAGTATCGTCATAATTCATTCAATATTTTTTTAATATATAAATTAATATAATAATATGGGGTATAATTGTAATTTAAGGTAAGAGATAATAAAGAGACGTTTATTTCACGTGTAATAATCGTCGTTAAAATAATTTAATTCAGGCTTTTAGCAAATATATTAATTTCTTTTATGAAATTAATTTTATATTGATTTTTCAATTACCTACTTTGATCGATACAAATAACAAACAAATATCATAATTAAATTCATAAAATAAAAACTTTCATAAATGCATGTCTTATATGACCGAATAATATATTAACTATATTTAAAATATTTTTATTTATTTATAAATTTAATTGAACGACAAATTTCACGTCACAAAAAAAAAAACATTAGTCATTGAAAGTGATGCATACGTGCCTCGCCATATCATCAATTAACCACGTCCCTTCAGAACACATAAGCAAATTTTAAGATTATAAAATTTTAATCATTGTCATTCGTTATTATTAATCAAACTGAGCTTTCATACGTTTCGTTTTCTAAATAATTAAAGAAATGTTTATTAACAAGAAGCCATACACATTGATAGATACGTTACCGCTAAATTAATTAATTATATATATATATATATATATATTATAAATAAATAAATAAAAGTGTCGAACATCATAATTGGTACTTTTAGTCAAACTTTTATCGGTCACTCATTTATTAAACGAGCAAAGAAGCAATAGTTGAAAGGAAGTCAAACAAGCGATCGAAATGTACGTTTCTAAATTAGCTTTTATTCAATATTAATATGTGTGTAACGTAAGAACACAAACACCTTAAAAAGATGAAAAGAGGTCGCACGTGGACTATTATAGTTTTTTAGGTTTAATACTTTTCGTTTTAAAAAATTTCTACACACTAACAAATACTCTCGACCTACCGGGTCGAGGGTTTGAATATTCATCCCATTTGTATTGATTGAACTTTAAAATAATAATAAATGTTAAAATTCATTCAAATCTTCACCAACACAACGTGTTGAACTAAAAAAAAAATTCTAAAATATTCGTCGTAACTCATTTGTACAATCTACGACGAGACTTTATATGGTCATCCAATGAAACCCTAAATGATATATAATTAGTCATAACAAAATGATAAAAATACTCATATGCTTAATACACGTGAGATCTCACATCAGTTGGAGAGGCGAATGAAACATTCCTTATGAAGATATGAAAACCTCTTTCTAGTAGACACGTTTTAAAATTGTGAGGTTGACAACGATATGTAACGGATTAAAGCAAACAATATCGGCTAACAGTAGACTTGAGCTGTTACAATACATCTTAAAATTACGTAAATTCTCAGACATATTTTCGAACATATTCTCGAACATGTTCGAATGCAAAATCATGATGGTCGTGATCTTCAATTATCCATTAGGTTGCATGAATGGAGAAATGTTTTCCATCCTATCCATTACTACACATCAATTAAAAAGGAAGATATCCCAAAATTTGTTTAACATATTTTGAAAGCAACATGACAGCTCATCCACTTAATCAATCGCATGACATGTGGCTCCACTAAAACAATGACACGTAGGCCCCATTTTTTTCATTCAGTTCTCAAAATTTGTATGGGTAAATAATTAAAGTATTTTGAAAATAGAAAATAATCGTTAAGGATTTCTGTGTATTTTAAAAAATATATTATTTTTGTATTTTTTTTATTATTAATTTTAATTTTTGGCTTAATTGAAAGTTTGATGTGACAATTTAAAATAAAATAGTAATATAAAGTTTGGAATAATATGATACGAAAAGAATCAAAGTTATTAAATATTTAATTCCGTAAAAGAGAAGAATTATTAATTAAAAAAATTAAGTGGAGTTAGTTGGTACATCTTTGATTAATTATCCATGATATTGACAATTGAAATAAGCTTGGATTTAATGGAAATTGATTCAATTAATTATTTCATTAATATATTGATGGGTAATTATTTTATCACAAAAATTATAATTAAACCCATAGTAATAATAATAATAAAACTCATTTTTAAGGTAATTTTTTATATTGAATTTAAATATTAAAAATAGAGATTTCTAATTAATGCAAAATATAAATCTTTGTCGGCTACTAAATTATGAGAATAATAATTTCTAAAGTAAAAATTAAAAAAAAAATAGTTGTTTCAATAAATAACTATTCAGATCCGCTCAAGCTCACTGATGTTGTCTACTATGACCCGTTATGTATTACTGTCAGCCTCACATTTTTTAACGCGTCTATTGTGAGATCCTATATCGGTTTGACAGGGGGGACAGAACACCCCTTACAAGGGTGTGGAAACCATTTTCTAACGAATGCGTTTTAAAACTGTGAAGTTGATGACGATATGTAACGAGCTAAAACGGACAATATTTACTAGCGGTGTGCTTGGGCTGTTACACTCTAGAAGAGACATAAATATCGGAATTGATTTTAAGTTGAGGCAACTAAACTCGTACTTTCGAAGCATCTATTAAATAGTATTTCTATTTTCAAAATAAAATTTATAGTAGCTTTAAAGAAGGGGGAGTTAGACCAAACCAAACTAAACCAAACCACGTACCCCACCGATTTTAGGGCAGCGTGGACTTTTTTTGGTAAGGGACAACTTATTCTTGAAGGGATATTAAAATTATAGAAGTTTGGTAAGAAGTTGGCTGATGCTTAACCTAACTCTTTACTTCTTCTCAAAACAAACCCTAATTTCTACGATCGTCTTCGATTTTAAATATTATTGTTCTAGTCGTTATTATGGGTGTTCGTTGACGTGCGAACTCAACGCTGGTGAATCCATCCAATATGTACGACATAATGAATAATTAAAATATTATTTTATTGTTGCCACGAGATGCGACGAAAATTTTCGACTTTTTTTTTCCGATTAAGACGTTTTTAGACACTAATTTAGTCACGAAATTGAATGGTCCACGAAAAACTTTATAGCTGAACTCATAAGAGGTTCGTCACTCCTATAAATTTTATACTTTTTTTCATTTCGTTCCAATTATTTTTGGGTTCATTTTTTATTTAGTTATTGTTACGTGTTATTCTAAGACAATATTTTAGCTATCTAAAACTTATAAATTTCTTTTTTTAATTCATTTATAAATAAATTTAATCATTAACGTCGACTCACATCTAGATAATTAAAAACCATAAAAAAAATTAAATATTTAAAATTCACATGTGACAATATTTGCTGAAACCACTACCGTTAAATGGTGTGAAAGTTCTCTATTTATAATCAAATAAATTACGAAGATATGGAAAGAATAATGAATGGAAAGATATCTAGGGTGTAAGCAGTAATGGAAGATAAATATCTCTATAATAAAATATTATATATATATATATATATAGTAAACTATTTATTTATTAACTCTTTAATAATTATAAAAGTTTTTACGCAACGAAACTATAACTAATAGTTGTATTTTTTTTTGATATCTTGGAAGAAAGATAATTAGGTAGTAACAAGTTGCGTGTAGTATTTAATATTATAAGGTCTTGTGTGGTCCTTTTCTAATCGACCTTTTATATTATATGCTCTCTAAAAGATAAAATTATTATTATTATATTTTGGAATTGGA